TATCTATATCTATATCTATATCTATATCTATATCTATATCTATATCTTCTATATATATAACAATGAATTGTCTTTCGTATGACGGCGATGCCTGAGCAACGGTTGAACCGATTTCAATTCTGTAAAAAGCACATTTTTGTACCTTCTGTGTGGAAGGTTCTTTGATTTAAAAAAATTTGAAGTTTTTTATTGTTGTTGCCGAAAAATGAAGAAAGCTGAGACGTCACGATTTCAAAATTTCATAGAGTTTTCCGTATATTGAATGTCACTAAACTACTAAACGGATGGACCGATTTCGTTCATATTTGGAACATATTTCAGCACCTTGAAGGGAAATATTTCGACTAAAGATTTAATGGCTAGGTGGCGCTGGGGTCGGGATATTCATAAAAATTGCATTTACTTGCTGATTTGGCTCATATTTAGAAAACAATTTAGCCAATTTAAAAGAAATATTTGGACTTGAAACTAACACGATAAGTGGCTCTGTGGCCGAGATATCCCCAAAAATTATTTTACGCTAAGAGAAGGATATATCTACTATATATTTGTGGAAGTATGTATGTATGTATGTATGTGCCAGGTTGCAGCCTAAAAGGACGGACAGAATCGAACAAAATTTTGACAGAGTATTGCCATGACACCTGGGCCTATAATAGGGTAAAAAAAATTGGGATTCGACAAGGGGGCGTGGCATCTCCCATAGGCGTGAAATCTTTAATCAGCCATAACTTCGAAACTATAAGTCACATGAACTTGAAATTTGGTATGCAGTCATATATATGGTAGGTGCTTATAGTATGGTGTAAATAAGTGAGTTTGTAGAAGTGGGCGCTAAGTCTTGGAAAAACCCGCGAGAAGGATCGATCACCACCTGTTTGTCGACTTTAAAGCCGCCTTTGACAGCACTAAAAGGAGTTGCCTGTACGCCGCTTTGTCTGAATTTGTCATCCCCTCAAAACTCATACGGCTGTGTAAATTGACGTTGAGTAATACGACCAGCTCCGTCAGAATTGGGAAGAGACCTCTCCGAGCCGTTCGCCACAAAACCGGGTTTCTTGGCACCCACGTCACTGTTGACAGTTACAATTTCGAGAAAGTGGAGAATTTCATTTACTTGGGAACCAGCATTAACACCGATAATAATGTCAGCATTGAAATCCAACGCAGAATCACTCTTGCCAACAAGTGCTACTTTGGACTGAGTAGGCAATTCAGGAGTAAAGTCCTCTCTCGACGTACGAAAACCACGCTCTATAAGTCACTCATCAAGCCCGTGCTGGTATATGGCGCAGAAGCATGGACAATGACAACATCCAATGAGGCGGCGCTTGGAGTGTTTGAGAGAAAGATTTTGCGAAAGAGTAATGGGCCTTGACGCGTTGGTGACGGCGAGTACCGCAGACGATGGAACGATTAGCTGTATGAGCTTTACAACGACACGGACATAGTGCAGCGAATTAAAATACAGCGGCTCCGCTGGCTTGGCCATGTCGTTCGAATGGACACCGCCGCTCCAGCTCTGAAAGTATTCAACTCGGAACCCGCTGGTGGTAGCAGAGGAAGAGGAAAGATCAGGTGGAGAAGGACTTGGCTTCACTTGGCATTTCCAATTGGCGTCAGTTGGCGCAGAGGAGAAACGACTGGCGTGCTTTGCTGAACTCGGCCAAAATCGCTTAGACGGATACTGCACCAAAAAAGAAGAACAAGAAGAAGAAAAAGAAGAAGAAGTGGGCTTGGCACATCCAATAGGCGTGGAATATTTTATCAGCTATAAATCCGAAACTATTAGTCATATGAACTTAAAATTTGTTATTCATTCATACGTATGGTAGGTGCTTATAGTAGGGTATCTATGAATGAGGTTGTAAAAGTGGGCGTGGCTCATCCCATAGGAACATTTTATCAGCTCGAATTCCGGAACTATAAGCCACATGAACTTGAATTTTCGTATGCAGACATAACTATGGTAGGTGCTTACAGTAAAGTATATATAAAGGGGTTTGTAAAAGGGGGCGTGGCACATCCCATAAGCGTGGAAATTTTTATCAGCTATAATTTCACAACCATCAGTCAAATGCGGTGCTTACAGTAGACTGTAAATACATGAGTTTGTAAAAAGGGGCGTGGAACATCCCATAGGCGTGGACCCTTTAATCAGCTATAACTTGGGAACCATAAGTCCCAAGAACTTTAAATTTGGTGTGCAGGCATATCTACGGTAGGCGCCTTAAGTAAGGCATATATAACTGAGTTGAACATCCCATAGGCGTGGGAAATTCGGAATCATATGTCACGTGAAATTGAAATTTGGTACGCAGACGTATCTATAGTAGGTGCTTATACTAGTCTATATATAAGTGAGTTTGTAAAAGGGGGAGCGGCACGTCCCATGGACCTGGGGTGTTTTATCAGCTATAACTCCGGAGCTATAAGTCGCTTGAACTTGAAATTTCGTACGCAGCCATTTTAATGGTAGGTACTTATATTAGGGTATATATAAATGAGTTTCGAAAAGAGTGCATAGCACATCCAATAGGCATGGAATTTTTCATCAGCTATAACTTCGGAACTATAAGTCCCACCAACTTGAAATTTAGTATACAGATATATCAATGGTAGGTCCTTATATATAAATGCGCTTGTAAAAGAGGGCGTGGCACATCCCATAGGCGTGGAAAATTTTATCAGCTATAATTCCAGAACCATAAGTCGAATGAAATTGAAATTTGGTACGCAAACATATCTATGGTAGGTGCTTATAGTAGGGTATCTTAATATATAAATATCCCGTGTCACTGTGTTCGTTCACGCTAATCTCCGATACCACTTAACCGATTTCAATGAAATTTTGTGGGTGTGTATTGATGGTTCTAACTGAAAAGATAGGATAGTTGTGAACCCGAGAAAAAAATTTTTTTTTCATCGAAATTTTTTCTATGCTCGCATCGTGCTTATCTAATATACATATAAAAATCGAACTCTTCCTAAAGGGCTCGACCGATCTTTATGAAATTTTTTGTGTTATATATGGTAGGCATGAGAATCGGATGTAAAGTATATTTCATACCGCTAAGTGCAGGGGGCGTGGCACCTCCCATACAAAGCCAATTTTTCATATTGCACATCTCTGGAAGTGTTCATGGTAGACATGTTTCGACTAAGGTAGGGAGATGTATGAAAACATTTGTATATTCATAGATAAAAATTGCGGTTATTGGAAAAAGTTACATGGCACCTCCCATACAAACCGAATTTTTCATACTGCATATCCCGGAAATTGTTCATGGAAGAGGTCTCGAACTTGGTATGGAGATATATGAAAGCAATCGCATACTCATGGAGATAAATTGTGGTTATCGGAAAAGGAGGCGCGGCACTTCCCATACACATCGAATTTTTCATACTGCATATCTCTGAATGTGTTCATGGAAGAGTACTGGAACTTGGTATGTACAAGATATATAAAACGCGACTGGTCATGAAGAAAAGTTGGGGCTATTGGAAAAAGGTCAATTACTCGAAAATGGTTTAGAGATTTATGAAATCAGTCCCATGCTCTTAGAGAAAATTGGGGTTATTTGAAAAGGGGACGTGGTGCCTTTCAAACGCACTGAAACTATTACGTATCTTTGTATGCATGTACAGTTTTGCTAAGTTATTTAAGACGGCATATATGCCTTCTGACAACCACCAAACCGTAATATTACAAGACAAATGCGTCACTAAAAATCATGAACGTGAACTCTTTTTGAAAATTTTGGACCAAAATGTTTCAATACACTGACGGGATTGCAGAGATAATTCGATATTTTATTGAGATAAAATTATAAGTGAATGTTAGCTACACGAGGTTTAAATCCAGAAGAAGGTTAAAGTTACAAAAGAAGAGATGAATAAAGCAAAAAAAGAAAAGAGTAATGACAATGTGTACAGTAATATACTGACATGCATAGTGTTAGGTAAATGAATACAAAATCAATATCTTTAACAAGCCCTTTCAATATGCATGTCATCTAAGTGGGTAAACCAAGTCCGATAAGACATCTCTCGGGATTTGCTCGCGCCAACGGTTTCGTCATCACATCTGCAATCATCTCCTGTGTAGGTACGTGCTTCAATGAGAATAACCGTGCGCTGATGCATTCTCTTACAAAGTGATGCTTGATATCTATGTGTTCGGTCGGCGCATGAAAAACTGGATCATTCGCCAAACACTGCGCCCCTCTGTTGGCCACATAAACTTTAATATCGGTGAGCTCTTGAAGACCTATCTCGTTTAAGAGACTACGCAAGTAGACTGCCTCTTTTGCTGCTTCCGCCAAATTGACATACTCGGCCTCCGTTGATGAAAGTGCTACTGTACGTTGTTTTTGCGACTTCCAGCTTATCACAGCACCGCTGAGCAAGAAAGCATAGCCAGTGTAGGAACGACGATCAGTTGTGCAGCCACCCCAATCAGCATCGGTGTACCCTATTAGCGGTAGGTTGAATTTTTGATAGAGCACACACCTATTGGCAGTACCGGCAATATATCTTAGCACACGTTTGGCCGCGTTCCAATAGCATTTCGATGGGTTAGTCACAAACTGTGCTAGTCTTGACACGGTATTTGCTATGTCTGGCCTTGTTGCGACGGACAAGTACATAAGAGCTCCTATTAGTTCCCGGTATGGGCAGGCTTCATCAATACTTGGATTATTTCACATTCAACTCTGATGGTGTAGCTACCGGGTTACACTGACTCATGCCATATGTCTTTAACAATTCTTGTATGTAGCCACTTTGCTTCAAAGTAACACACCATCCTTTTGATGAATCTCTAGCCCAAGACAATAATTTGCTCGACCAATGTCCTTAATATCAAAATCATTTAAAAGTTGCTGTTTTAATTTGTGAATAATTTTTACTTCATGCGACGCAATTAGTAGATCGTCTACCAGCAGTAAAACTAACTTTTTCTCAAACTTTCCATGAAATAAACAGGGTTAATTTTCTGTGGGCTTTAACCCCATACTTAAAAGCTTCGACTTTAATTTGGAATACCACTGCCGACCGGCTTGCTTCAGACCATACAACGCCCTCTTAAGTCGACAAGTGTTGCCACCTTCATCTATGTCGTTCATCATTTTCGCAGCTTTTCTACCAATGTCCCCGATTTTATCAAACTTCGTTATAATTCTTTGTAAAATATCATACAACATATCTGGCACCTTCATAAACACTTTTTCACTTAAAGTTCCATTTAAGTATGCGCTTACAACATCAAACTGCCAGATTGTGCGGTTAAAATGAGCCGACAATGCAAGTAACAAGCGAATCAATTCTAAGGTTGCAAACAGAGTGGAAGCGAAGCCGAAGACGAAGATGAAGACGAAGCCGAAGACGAATTTCTTGCGTTGCGGGCAAGCTAGCGAGTGTACATAGTGGAAGATGAATGATATGAAGATTTGTTTCTAAATAAAACCCTTTTTTAGATAAAATCAAAAGAAAATAAAGAAAAAACAGCAATTCATGAAATAATTTGTATACAACTTTTGGAGAATTTCGCCACTTGTATTATGTGTTACGGCAAGACGGACAGACATTTTTCGAATATACAAGAATGCCAATTAATACGTTTGATTACATTTTGCCAAAAATTTAGCCCATTTCTTAAAAAACGCGTTTTTTCACAATTGCAAACAGTTAAATAAATTGTAAACAACTCATCACAGCAAGCTATTCGTCTTTGAAAACAGTACCGCACTGTTTCAAGCTGACCGCTTGCGCAACATCTTCATCTTCGTGTCCGTCTTTGCATGCACTGTTATCACTTTCATATGTTTACTACTGCACTGTTTTTCGTCTTCGGCTTCGTCTTCATCTTCGTCTTCGGCTTCGCTTCCACTCTGTTTGCAACCTAAGCGAGCTACTGGCGCATACGTTTCACTCATGAACGAAAGACACAAGATCACGTGGGAAGGAAAGAACGAAAAAAGTTATTTTCTAGCTGCCGAAATCTCGACGCCATCTTTGTTGTAAGAAGTAAACAACGAAGAGAACGGAGAAAACCGCGAAATTGTTGAACGCATGAAAAATCATTTTTATTATGCAAATTCTTCTATAAATCATGCCGTTTTGTTAAATTATTCTTTATCTTATGTGTACACACGTTGTCACAAGCGAAAATGAAGAAAATTGCAGTAAAAAGCCACCACCAAATTGTAAACAACGAAGAAATGTAAACAAACGGCTAATGTCAAAATCGTTCCACTTTCTTCCTAAATGCGATTCTAACGGGCTACTCTCCTGCCCGCGTGATCTTGTCTTTTTGGTTCATGCGTTTCACTATAGTTTATACCATATTTCTGACCATAGCCTTTGGCTACCAGGCGAGGTTTGCGTCGCTCAATATTACCATCGGAATCGGATCCATACTTATCTGTCAAAACAAAACGGCGTCCCACTATATTTTTGTTGTGAGTGGTCGGAACAATATCCCATGTATCATTTTTAATCAGGTTAATTACCTCACATTCCAATGCGTCTCGCTATTCATCACTCTCAGGTCCATTCAAAGCGTTCTGCATGCTAACTTCAGCTATACCAACAAACACATCATCGTCACCAACACTATCATTGTCGCTTTCTGTACAAACCGGTTGCTGTGATGGCTCTGAGTTAGCGCGAGAACGAAACAATTTGCGCGGTCTTCCTCTATTTCCCATTCGCAACAACTTTGGCCTACCTGGTGCTCTTCGAACCTCTTCCAACTTTTCATCAGCCTCTGTAGTGGGTTCATTCGATGTACTCTTTTCAATAGCAGAAGGTGAAAACTCTACACTTTTACGGCAGTTGCTCTTATTCTCTTCTGGAACTTCAGGCTGCATCAGCAGATCATCGACGCTACGTGTTGGAAGTGAAACCAGTTGCTGTTCACTAACGAATCGGACGTCACGCGCACATACGATCTTATGCGCCTTTGGTATCCACACGCGATAACCCTTGTTGTCTCTTGGATACCCTACAAACACGCCTTCTTCACATCTCGGTTCCAGCTTATTTTTCTCGGGTAATTTATCGAGTACCATTACCTTTGAGCCAAACGACCTTAAGTATTTGACATTGGGCTTTACCTTATTTAGACATTTATAAGGTGACTTCGATCCTAAGCTTCGCGATGGGCATCTGTTCCTTATATGACACGCAGTTGCTACCGCTAACGATCAAAAAGCATGACCTAGGCTCGACTGCAATAAGAGACACCTAGTCATATCCAGCAGCGTTCGGTTCATTCGCTCACCGACTCCATTCTGTTTGGGCGTGCGAGGAACACTTAGCCGTCGTGCTATGCCGGATTCTGAAAGATACGTATTAAAATCATTATTTAAATACTCACGTCCATTGTCGGACTGCAGGCACTTAATTTTCAGCCCTGTCTGCCTTTCCATAAATCTCTGGTATAGCTTAAAAGCCTCGAAAACGCCAGACTTCTGCCTTAGTAGGTATATTTCGCACCACCTTGTGCAGTCATCTATTAAGGTGAGAAAATATCTGGCGCGGCCAATGGACTCTTCCTTGAATGGCCCAACAACGTCGGAATGTATAATCTTCAAAGACTCTGAGCACGGCACTCTGCCTTTATTGAACGGTAACGCAGACATTTTACCCATTATACACACTTCACACTGTGCCAGCTGCTCGACGTCGCCAGTGTCAGAAGTAGGAACCACACCATCACGTATCAACTTTGATAAATCAGCCGCGTTTAGATGGCCCAACCGACAGTGGCACTTCAACAGTTCGGAGCACTTCGGCTGGACAGCAGCACATTCGCTGCTTTCTATTATATAATATAAGTCGCCCTTGCGGTCAGCGATCAGTGTTATTTCTCCATTTCCATTGCACACATACGCAGCGTCCTTGGTAAATGTCACTTTTTGCCTCTTATCAGTAATTTTACCTACCGAAATTAAATTAGTGCGCAGCTCTGGAACAAACAACGTGTTTCGGAACTCAACTTGGCGCTGGCCACTTTCGGTAGTCACTGATAAATGTACCACACCTTTGCCTCGCACATCTCCACACGCCGGTTGACTCACCAAATTCAGCTTAGCTTTGGATGACTTTTCCATTGTCTTAAACATGTACTCGTCACCACACAAGTGAGCAGTGCATCCACTATCCAAAAGCCAAGCACGTTTTACACGTATGTCACCATATGACTTCTCTGTTGCTGCAGAATGGTCATAAAATAAACAGTCAGCGCATTCGCGCCTTGGAACCCACGTCACTGTTGACAGTTATAATTTCGAAAAAGTCTTCTCTCGACGTAAAAAAACCCGCACTCTATAAGTCACTCATCAGGCCCGAACTGTTATATGGCGCAGAATCTTAGACAATGACAACATTCGATGAGGCGGCTCTTGTAGTATTTGAGAGAAAGATCTTACGAAAGCTTTACAGGCTTCTATGCGTGGGCGACGGGGATTACCGTAAACGATGGAACGATGAGTTGTATGAGATTTACAACGAAATGTACATAGTGCAGCGAATGAAAATACAGCGGCTCCGCTGGCTTAGACATGTCCTTTCAATAGGAACCGAAATTCCAGGTGTGATGGTAGCAGAGGAATAGGGAGCCCCCCTTGCAATGAAGAGTTGCCAAGTTGGCGCAGAGAGAAATGACTGACGTTCTTTGTCGAGCTCGGGCAAAATGACTTAGGCGGTTTACAAAGCCAAAGTAGAAGAAGAATATGCAAATGATAAATGACGGAGTTGGGGGACCCTCTTATTGGATGCGCCAGTAGGAACTGGGAAAATATTCCTTATCAGATTGATCCTGGCCACGGTTCGATCAAAAACTTACATAACATTAGCTATCACTTCGTCTGGAATTGCTGCGACATTGTCACCAAGTGGAAGCACTGCTTATTCAGGTCTTATGCTGCCATTGAAAATATAAAACATCGAAACTCCCACGTGAAATATTTCTAGAACACCCGGTACAGAAAAAGTATTACAAAATTTAAACTCATTGTTTGGGATGAGTGCACCATGGTACATAAAAATCGCTTGAGGTTCTTGATCGTGTTGCGTGGAAACGTTCAACCATTCGGAAATGCATTAATATTGCTCGCAGGAGATTTTACGCAAACATTGTCTGTAATTTCTCGATTAACACTAGCGAGAGAGATAAATGCTTGCCTGAAATAGTCAACGGTTTGGCAAGACGAACATATGTACATACACTGCAGCCGAGGTATTATCGCGATAATTACTGGACATTGGGAACGGAAAGCTGCCAGTCAATGAGAAATTAAGACGAATTTTATTGTCCGATAATTTTTGTGCCTTAGTAACAGCGAAAGGAGAACTGATTGAAAGAAGGTTACTTAATAAATACAATTAATTATAGGAATAACGACTGGCTCAGTGAACGAGATATTCTTACTGCGAAGAATAAGGATGTCTATCAACTAAATAGTAGTGGTATTGACAACAGTCGTTGCTTGAGCTGATCTGCTCATTTACCAGACTGCCAGGTCACTTGTTCAATTTGGTGAATACCACTAATGTTCAATAATAATGATATTCAATTCAGCATTCAAAGTGAGGAAATAACATATACGCCGATAAACACCCTTGTAGAAACAGATGAAGCAAC